TACTACAGATTTAATATAGAGATTGCATGCTTTTAACATAATTATTAACTAAATGTTATTAATTCTTCTCCCATTTTCGAAAATTCCAGAATTTATTCTAAATGTAATATCGCCGTCTTCCTCCGCGACCCTTTCACTTTTAAAAATCCGCATATAAAATAGTACGACATTTGATTGCTAATAACTCTGATTAACTCCTTTAGTGAATACTACAAATTTAATATAGAGTTTGTATACTTTTAACGTAACTATTAACTAAATTTTATTAAAATTTATTAGATGCCACTCCGACAGTTCCCTTGTTAGTGAGGTTTTACTATATAAGTATTTATTTTTAATAATTTGTTTTGAATCTAATTTGATGAAGTTTAAATCTTTTATAAAATTCTTATTTTTAAGTGATTTTATATATATAATTCTTAAATAATATATATATTCTTAAATAAGAATTTGTTATTCCATAAACTCTTGATTATTGAATTTTGTTGTAAGGAAACTTTTAATATATTTTTATGAAAAATATTTGTATTTAAAATGCAAAATTATATTGACTACACTATTTTTCTAAGGTGATGTCAGAAATGATCTTTATCTGACTTTGGATAAAGGAGAATTTGAAAAAGGTGGAAAATCAACAGGAAAAAATATAGAAGCTTCAGTAGTTTTAGTTAATATAGAAGGTTATATTTTAGAGGTAAATATCTTCATTAAAAATCATAATATATTTATACATTTTTTTGGCATGATATGAAGTTCCAGAAGTTATTAATATATTAGAAATAATATAATTTTTTTTGAAATTAATTGAAAATTAAATCAATTGTTATAGGCCATTATATATTCCACTAGTTAGAGGTCTATTAAATTTGCTGAATTAAAAAATATATATATACTGTATGCACTGTACATATGTAGTTGACATGGTTATTTTATGTTTATAGGTATCTTAACATAAACAATGTTATGTATATTTACAGAATTTTTTCTATAAAAAATGCATACTAATAATTATTTATTACACTATTTATTATTAATTGACATCATATAAATGAAAATCTGTGAAATTTTGTTTAAGAAGAAAACTTCCAGTCATAGAACATAATTTCATATACAATTATTGTATTGTTTTTGCAAAGCTATTAAATCTTAATTTTCTAAAAGACTATACATTTGATTTTTTTTATAGAATTTTCAATTTAATCATTATTAGACAATCCCTTTGTTAGGGGAATAGTTTACATTAAAAGAAAATTTTATTAATGAAAATTAGAACACTATTTATTCAATGCAGTGTAATAATAGGAAATAGTTGTTTTTTTTAATATTAAAATGATATACTCTGAGAGTCAAAAATTATCTTAATGTGAGAACTGAGGGGTATGACTACATTGTACCTCCGTGGATCAGCTTTCAAGTCGGTGGGACTTGCTCACTTGTCAGAGATGGCTTAAATTTTTAGATTATCCCAAGGGAATGGGACTAATTTATTTCGGTCTGGTCGAGTGTAGGAGGGAGGAGTGCCGTCGGTAAGGTGACAGGTGATATATGAGTAAAAGAAGACACCAACTTAACAAGGAAATAATGATTTATTAGCTATCTATATAGATGGTACATGAACTATTATTGAGGGAAAATTCTGAGTTCCTAAATGTGAAGGGCCGAGAGAGAGTTTACAAAAAATCTGTTCCATACCTCTTCCTGTATGTAGATTTTCTTGAGGAAAAAGATACTGGTATCCACCTGGTCCAGAAATGGTACACAATATTGGAAGGACACAATATATGGATAGGACACAATATTAAAGCAGTTGCCAGACACTAGCTGGTTGATGAACGACTCCCCTGAGAGGGGGTAGCAAGTGGCTTTTATAGGTTTGTCATGGGAGAATAGTCACGTGATTACTTGTTGTTAGGTAAAAGGTACGCGGATATGTCAAAGTTGTTCCCGGGACCATGCTAACTATCAACTTTGGAGTTGGAATGTGGGATTATTTTCGAAGTGGATGGATGTTTACTTTAAACGAAAGGGGAGATTGGAATTTTTCCCTTTTTTTAAGTTAGGTTTTAGCTTAGGATTTAAAGAAAAATTTAATTGAGGGTTGAGGAAAATACGGGATATTAATCAGAAAAATCGGTAAAAATTCCGGATTTCACATTCAATTTAAAAATAGAGTACATATGATCATGTATTTTCATAATTTCAAAATTACTTAAAAGAAAATCAGCTCCTGGTATGGACGACATAAAAAATGAATTCATTATATATCTTCCTGATAAAATGTGTTTAGAAATTACTCAAACTCTTTAACAAGATTAAGGAAACATCAAAATTTCCTGAGCATTGAAAAAATGTGTTGTGCAAATGATTTACAAGAAATGAGACAAACTAAAGCCTCAAAACTATCATCCAATAGCATTGTTAAATACCTTTAGAAAATTGTTCACTGGAATTTTGGCAGATCGGTTGAATCAATGGATAATAGAATTTAATGTTATCTCCCAGTTTCAAGGAGCATTTGTTAGAGGAAGAGATACTATGTACAACGTCTTTATACTTAATGGTTTAATACAGTATGTCCTGTCAAGAAAAAGACGTAAAATCTATTTGATATTTGTGGATTTGGAAAAGCTTTCGATAGAATCAATTTTAATATTTTATGGAGAAAGTTACATTTATTAGGAGTTTCAACTTCGTTCATTAAGCTACATAAAAATCTATTTGCCTCTCACATGATACATTGTGTTACAAATCTGGCAAATACTAAGGGTGTCATTTCTGGTGGTGGTTTACCTCAAGGGAAACCTTTAAGCCCCCTGTTATTTATATTATTTATTAACAATTTACTGCAATTATTTTTTACCTCTGAAACTTCAGGATTTACTCTTGGAGAATCTGTTGACCTACATTGCTTAATGTACGCAGATGATGTAGTTCTGCTGGCAGATTCAAAAATAGGTTTGCAATGAAAACTTTCTTTGCTAGTTAATTATGCAAAAAGAAATGAACTTATTTAACATACAAAAAACGAAGGGAATGGTCTTTTGCAATGGAGGCAGACTACTAAAATCTGATAAAATATTTGTGAATAATACTGAAATTAGTTTTGTTTCATATTTTAAGTATCTAGGAATACATTTTTCTTCTTCTGGTGCATATAATCATTTCAATTTAATAGCCAAAGACATACAGAATAAGACAGACTACATGCTTACTCTACAAAAACGAATGAGGCTAAGTTCTATGAGCATTATCTTTAAACTTTTTGACGCTTTTATTAGTTCTAAGGTGACTTTTTATTTCCGGTTTGAGGACTGGAGTTTCTGTCTAAACTAGAAAAAGTACAGATGAAATATTTTAAGAGACTTTTTAAAATAGAACGTTCAGCTTCAAGCTCTGCAGTTCATCTTGAATTGGGAAGACCTCCATTGGAATTGAAATTTGTCAAGGCTATTCTTCTGTTTTGGTCAAAAGTTATGGAGTTACCCTTGTACGATTTGTGCCGAATTACTTATAATGTTTTGTTAACAGCAGTCAAACCTGATGAGAAAAGTTGGCCTGCTTCAGTTAAGAATATTTTTGATAGCTTGGGTTACTCCTTTTTATTTTCAACTTGATCAGCTTCATTGTTGAGAACTCACTTAAATGCAATAATTCAAACTAGGTCAGACCAGCTGTGGAATCAGGATATATCGTCTATTTCAGCTAAACGAGTTAATTTGTTTGAAACGTGCTTGGGATGGTATACAGCAAACTACTTAAACTGTGAGACTAATTTTTCCACAAAAAGCCTCATTATACAACTTAGACTTAATAGATTTCGGATTCTGTTAAAGGGCTACCGGATAAATATATCAAGAGAAGTTTTGTAGTTATTGTGGTAGTAAAGTGGAAGAGAATCTCTTAATTCACTTGTTTGTCCAGTGATATATCAACTAAAATGTCTTGTACTAGGAGATTTCAGGTATAATCATTTGAAAAATGAGGATATGACAAAAATTACTTTATTTAAGATCATCTCCTCCTTTTCTAAATTTTTAGAATTTTTGTAATAATTTATTATTATGTATATTAATTAAATAACATTACTGTATATAACCAAATTATTCCCCAATTGTAAGAAATAATTTAAATCAATAAACATTAAATTAAATTAAATAATTTAAACTCATTGATGAAGTGTAATAAGTGTATATCAATACATACAAAGAGTGATTACATGTTATTGTATAAACAAAGACTAATGCAAAAATCATATGTTAAACCAAAATTCAGAGAAATATTTAGCTTAAATATATTAAGGAGAAGTGAATAAAACTAAATTACTATAATCTGAGCAAGTGCAAACTTGATTAGAAGGGGAAAAAAGTATTGTCACAAGTCAAGTTTTCATTATTAAAATTAAATTTATAAAACTTTTAATGAAATTAAATTTTTATTAATTTTTCTATATTAAAAGTTATTTTAAAGTATTTTAATAGTGAAAAAAAAAATCAGAAAATACTACTATGAGATGAGATTAGCTCTACAATAGTTTCAGAAATCCAAACAGTACTTTTATTTAGAATTTTTAAAAATGATTTGGACAAACTCTGAAACTTGATTATTTTATAACTACTTCCTAATTGGGATGCAAAATGACGCTCATCCCAATGGAAATGTGATATATTTTTGTCAGAAAATTGACATTATTTGAGGGTATGTGCCTAAGGAATATTTGATTATCATGCATATGAAAATGATAGATTTGTAGCATGGGTACAGATAAGTAAACAATGACCTTTTAATTTTATCTACATGAATAAATTTATAAGATCAAATACATTATAGTGGCATGCATTCTATATACTATCTTAATATATTTAATCATATATGTCTTTATACATCTAAAACATCTATCTTACACAGTCATTTATACCAATGGTGCGCAAACTATTTTCATTTCCGACCTCCCCATTTTGTGTAAAATTTTGTCGTGATCCCTGGATAGACAGTAGACATTTTTTTAATCATCAACGCAGTTAAAGTGAAATTCTTTCTGGGATTTGAACTTATGTTTCTGCCTTTTTTAGAAGATAAAACACCTAATTTTATGAAACAATGGTTTTATTTATGCATATGGGTATAAATATTTATTTAATAAAAATAGTTTGAATTCTTATGATGTAACGGTTTTTAAATGTGAGGTATGCTATTCTATTCTTATAAATAATATAATTTCATTTCACTATTTTACTGGTATTTGATACTCGTTGAAGAAAAGTCTTATATTTTTTATTGTCAAATAAATTTCTTTGAATTTGGCGACCCCAAAAAATTTTCTTGCGACCCCTCTGGAGGTCGTGATCCACAGTTTGCATGCCACTGATTTATACCACAATGAAAAACCTTTAATGATAGAGAATTGACTAGTATTTTGACATTTTTTTTCTCCATATATTTATCTAAATTTGACAAGAATTCACTTATAGAGTTCAGCATATTTCAGAGTTTAATTTAGTTCTTTCTTAGATTTCAGCTATGTCTTAGTTAATTGTACTATTTGTTAAAACTGGAGATGATATGTTACTGAATTCTGTCAGGACAATCTGATACCAATAATTTTTGATTTAATCCAATACTGATACTTGTTTCTAGCCATACTCTACAGGTGTTAGAAATAAATTAAAGCATGAAAGCTCTTTGATTTAGAAAATATTCACTTTAGTCACTAACCATTTAAATTCAGAAATAAAGAAACTATCTTGTTACACCTAGCTTTCCTGAGTTTATAAGAGAGATAAATTTAAAACATATAAAATTATTAATTTTTAGGAAAATACTGTTTAAATATCCAAGTTCTTAGGTGTAAAACTTGACTTTAGCAAAGAAAGAAAGAGAAAAAAAAAGAAAGATATTTTTCATAGTATAACTTTAATGTAGAAAGATTTTTCTGGCATCACAAATTATATTGTTGGTGTTAATTATCTTTTGTTTACATACTTTGAGTTGTAAGAATGGGGTTGCTTTTATGATAGTTCTTCATGATTTTATATGAAACCAGATATTTTTTATTGTATTGTTTTTTCTGTAGCACAATTCATGTTTCCTCTTTTTGTTATTTTTTGATACATTGTAAGTTAATAGTTAAAAGCCACTAAGTAGTGAATGGATATGAAGAAACAGGTAATTTTATGTATTGTCACAGTTCTTACACTGATGTAGGCAGAAATTAATGAGTTGTTAGATGTGGAAAACCAAATACTTAGTTCATTACAACAAACAAACAGACAAACAATCCTCTCATATATGTATATAAGTTTACAAATCAGTATAAGGGTTCTTTTTGTCTTTTTGCATCCTGGTCCTAGGGTAATTGTTGTAATTATCTAGTATGCCTAGGCTTGACTGCAATCCAGTTTTTTTTTAGAAAAACTAATAAATTACCTAGTGCTTTAGTATTTCTTCTAGCAATTATTTTCTTAAAATACAAATGTTTTCAGTCTCAGATAACGAGCAAAAAAAATTTGAATGAATTTTCAAAAATTTGATGGAATTTTAACATAGCTAATGACATAGGAGTGTTCTATGAATTCAGAAATTTTTAAAAAAATAATTGCTGAAAGAAGTATTAAAGCAGTAGATAATTATTAGTTATCTCATTTCCAGCTTTAAATATTTTGAATGCTTTTTAGAAAAAACTGAACACATCTTGAATAAATTTATAATAGTATAGAAAATTTTCCAGATTAAAAAATTATTGCCATATCATCAACTAGCTTGAAATATTGCCATATTCAGCAAGAACTCTCCAGACCTGGCAACAATGATTATATGTTTCTTGTCCATTGTTAAAAAGTAGACATATGTTACTGCTGTAATTTTTTTTCTTATGTTACTGTTTGATCTTCAAAAACCTTAATTTTGATGTGAATGTAATAGAATATATATATATATATTCTGAATTTATATATCAAAAAATCATATGGAAGCAATTTAAATTAAATCAATGTAAGTTATCTACAATAACACTTAATAAAAAATTATTACTGTTAATTTGTGTACTTTGAATTTATTATGCTATGAGAGCTTCAATCTTGTACAGACAGACAAATGGTAATGAAAGTTATCTTGTTCTTCTATTTGGTCTTTGTTGAAGATTCTGTATCTGGAAATAAAGAAAAGACAAATTAATCAGGCAATATTATACTACAATTAATAATTAGAAATTAGAGGTAGATGTTAGGTGCCATCTCTTATCAAAAGTTGTAACTATAATTTTAATATGATTTAGAATAGTCTAGAAGAAAAAAATTGGCTCAGAGTGGGAGTCAAATTTACAACTTCCACTTACTGTGCAGTGTGCTGACCAGTTATGCCACCCAGACCGCTGAGTTCTTCTCTTCCAGACACATTGAAACTTTAGATATAGATATAACCATCCAATGGTTACTCATGATGTTGACTAGGGACGTATTCAACACCCACTGGCCTACTCCAGCATGGTACTCAGCCTACTATTGTATTATTCGGCATGGCACATATACATATAAAGAAAAGATGTACTTAAACATAAAACAATAATTAATTTTAAGAGTAACTCTATACAATGCTTTTTTTCATAAAATAATTATAGAAAACAAAACTTAGTATTTATGAAAATTTTTTGGATATTTGTATAAAGTTAAAATTGCTAATATAAATGAAAATACTAATTATTGTAACAGTTATGTTATGATGTTATTTGTGATTACTTTTCTAGTGACTTTATAACATGTTAACTAAGTATCAATAGTAATGCTTGCACAAAGTTTTTACTTAAATTTATTTTCCCATTTCAGGGGTACCTCATCTATTATGGAATAAGTTGATTGATTGAATTTATTATGTTGTTATAAATTACATGTTTAGAAGACATTTTTTCCATTCCTTGGTTATTAATTACAATTGCAAATTACTTAATCACTTTTCTTAATATATGAACTACTATTAAATTGAAAAGTTATCATTTCTAATTATTGCAGCTATGATTTACACAAAACATTTTGATGCAATTATGGTAAAAAAAAAAGATGCATTGCATTATATTGAGTTCATGTAGACCATTATAGAATTGTTTTATTTTTAAAATAATTTATAATTAGTTTTTTATTTACAATTCTAGTTTAATCAATAAAGAGAAAATTATATAATTTTGTCATGTGGAGATATAAGCTAACCAGTCATTCCTTAAATAATGTTATGCTTAGATTTGATTGAAAGTATTATTTGGCAATGCATTTTAATTTTTAAAGTATATATTTTTCAAATTAATTAAATATGCCTGAGTCTTTTCAGATTTAGGTTAATTGTAATTGTACAATAAAGAATTATTTTTTTATAAATTTTACTTAGTTATTTAACAAAATTTTATAAGAACAGTGGAGAATATTTAAGACATTTTCAAATTAGTATTTAATATAAACAGTTTTATGCTAAATCATGTCAGTTTTTAAGTATTTATATAGCAATTTCTTATGGAAATTGATTTGTTAAAATATAAAATGCAATTAGTCAGTTAAATATTTTGTTAAATTAATATTTTATTTTTCTGCAGAAATGTATCAGTGCAGGATCAGGACAAGAAATGATTACAGAATATCAGTCAATGGTACTATATCACAATAATTCTCCTCGGTGGGCTGATGTAATAAAGGTAATAAATATATTATTGTTTTATTTAATAATATAATAAAATGATCATGAATATATGACTTTAAAAATTTGAAGAATTTATATTTATTTAAATTTTTTATATCAAAACAATTTAATTAAATCAGTTAAATTCAATGTATCAGTTAAATTCAATGTGGTGTTTGTAAACATACACAATAATATCTATAAAAAAAATAATAAAAACCAAATTATGAAATGGTTTATATTGCATCAAACTTATATGCAAAGGCCAGGCATTGGATCTGTATGTCAAGATCCTTTTTCTTCTGCACATTGGAAATTTAAGAAATGTCTAAATCAAGGATTTGAATTATGTAGCTACCACATTTGTGATTTACATTGTCACCCCATCTTTGATGCAAAGTAAAGATCAGTTTGTTACAAAATGATATGAATAAATCTTTTTAAACATTTATAAAAGTTTATTAATAATGGAAGTGATAGTAATGACTATGGAGTTTATTCTCATTGATTGAATATCAAGATTCAACTGGTTATTGATTGCTAAATTACAATAGACTGGTGGGAAGGCGGGTGTACACAATTGTCAGCTGACAATTAACTTTAGCAGTTTTCATGCTTGTTGAAAAGGCAAGAGGTTTGTTTTTTCAGAAGGAACAAGAGAATGGAAAAAAGGCACAAAGTAATGGGGACAATAAAGATTGTAATGAATAAAGTCCACACATTTTCCTTTTTTTTGTATCTAAGTGAAGTCAGTGAATACACAATTTTAAGTTGTGTTGTTGTTTTATTTTTTTGTGACAGTCCTTACACTCAGCCACAAATCACTGAAACAACTGGATAATAATAATTATTATTGCTGTTGGTAGATTGTGCTAAGTAGATATCAATGCCTAGTACTACACTTGTGTCCAAAATTAAAGCAACAAACACAAAACCTGTGTATAATAAATACAATGAAATAAAGCTACTTCATTATTGAAAACAATGTTTTTAATTAATTGATTTTACATACATACATACATACATACATACATACATACATACATACATACATACAGTATACCTTAAGTGATTAATAATTAGCAATTATATATGTATGTACAGTAGAACCTCGATTATCCGGACCTCTATTATCCGGATTTTCGATTATCCGGATTGTTCAAAATAAACAAAAATTTTACGAGTTTGCTGATTTGCATTTGGCGAATTACGACACTGTTTATGTACGTGATGGAATGCATAACATTTTTTTGTTTCAACAACGTCTCACCCGGCACAGTGGTCGTAAACTCTTAAATATATTTTGCGTCGTAATAAAAATATAATTTGACATACGTATTTATAAAAAATTTTATTTTCAAATTACATCATTTCTATAACCAAGGACGGCGTAATGCCTCGCGCCTCGAAGGTTTATGCATTACTTAAAAGCCGTGAATGCGACGAAAAAATTTTACTCGTCATAAAACGATAAATAGTTTGTCAAATTTTTATTAATAAAAATGCAGTTTCAACTGCTTTTTATTTTATAAAATCCGTCTTCTTGCGCTACCAGAGGGCCTTTTAAACAATAGCTAGTCTGTTAGCGCTGGTCAGTAGTAGTCCAAATTCAATACGAACGTTTGTTTTTTGAAAATTTGATTACGATTTAAATACAGTATTTACTTTTAATATTACCGATACGTCATCGAAAAGAAAACGTGTTGTATTATCATTAAAAGACAAATTAAAGTATTTGTTTCGATTATCCGGATTTTTCCTTATCCGGACGACCTTCATCCCCAATTAGTCCGGATAATCGAGGTTCTACTGTATATATTTAATACAATTTTTATTTATTTATATACTATAATCTATTTATTTGTATATCTTTAATAAATATGTTAATCTACATAATTTTTAAATAAATTTCTATCAGTTATGCCAATTTACAATGAATTTAATAGTTTGACAATGAATTTTGGATATGTTACCTGGTAAAGCTGCTTTAGTTAAGCTGCTGCTGGTTGCTTTAAATGGTTTACACTTTTGAAAGAAACTGCTTTACTTCTGCTATTTTGCAGTTTGTAAACACTATAAATGAAGCATTTATTCAGAAATGATACAAAATAGTATCAAAGATAACCTATGACATACATATTCCTCAACCTAAAAATTTTTTCAAATATTAATACTTTCTCATTTGTGGCAACTATGTTGAATTTTATCTTCACTACTTTCAAACTTCAATGCACTAGTGCTACAATCACTACTTTAAAATGGAAGTTTGTAAACTTTTTTCAACAAAGTTACTTTAAGTAGCTTTACCAGGCAACTTACCTTACATATTTTATGTTACTTCAAATTTTATGAAGTCTGAAATCATTAAAGCATTGTGATAATTTTCTTATTACTAATTAATTTTAATAAATTTATTTTTTAGCTTGTAATACCTATTGAAAGATTTGATGGTGCTCACGTCAGAATCGAGTATTACCATTGTTCAAGTAAGATAATATAAAAATTTTATATTCATAATTTCATTTATCTAAAATTCACTTCTAACTATAGTCAAAAATTTAAATTGCAATTATTGATATTTCTTTAATCTTTATACCAAGTATTTCTGTTGGTTATATGTTCAATTATACAAATTTTAAAATATGCACAAGTAAAAATTTTGTAAACATTACTGATGTAAAAAATTTTAGTTATTTTTTATAAGTGTTTGATTTTATTAATTATAATGATAAGAATTAATGAATATAAGTTATATTCATTAATTATTATATTTATTATTTTATTGAATTTCTAATTTGACTTTTCTTGAAATTATTTAATTGCTTAAATTTTTTAGCTCGTGATAAAGATAAGAAGTTGTTAGGATTCTCTTTCATTCAATTAATGGATGATAAAGGTACAATTTTACGAAATGGCACACATGAACTTTATGTTTACAAGGTAAATAACTCATTTTTTCCTAGAAATATTCTTAGAATAATTTAATAACAGTTATAAATCTATAAAAGAAATAGTGATAAAAATTTGTTTATTTAATGTTTTTTTTTTTTAATAGTTTTTTGTGTTTGTCTTTTTAATATTCTTTTACCATAAAATTTAATTTTTGTGCTGGAATTATTAAGTTGAAATAAATGTGTAATGTAAATGAAAGTTACTGTAAATATTTTAGTTATAATTTTAAAATAAAAATTTTTCAATATTTTAGTGTGAAGAAAAATGTAAACTGCAAGAACCTAGATCATATTTAAGTCTTCCTTCTGGTCCTAAAGATGGAGGTGGCTCTACTCCAGGTAGTGCAGGAAGTTCTGGTCCAGTACCTCCTTCTCCTCCACCATTTCCAACAAATATTATTGGACAATGTTTTATTCGAAGTCCAAGAGAGAATGTATATATCAATACTCTTTTATGTTCTACAAAATTAACTCAAAATGGTAAATATATGTTTTTATAAATATATAAATTAAATGTGTCATTATACAAAACTTTGATATGTTTTAAATGATTTTCAAAATAATTATTTTATTTTCATTTTACATATACAGTATAACTTAGAAAAACAAGAACTTCAACCCATTTAAAAAACATAAATAAAAGAAAACTCAATTAAAAAACAAACAAAATTTAAGAACAACAAAAATAATTAATATTATATTTAAGAAAAATTAAAATATTGTGGAAAAATATTTACTTATATAAAATATGTTCAAATAGAATTTAAACTTGATGATCTTCAGATTAAGGTTTCCCTTAAGTAGGTTTTAAAGTAGTTGAAAAATAAAGATCAATGTATCTTTGCAGAACTGATAAGATTTATTATGATGCGAATGCTTTTAAAAAACATTGAGGATATAATAAATCTTTCTAGCTGATTAAAACATTATTTTTTAGAAACACAAATGTAATTATTACCTTATAAAAAATTCCAAATAATTCAAAATCTGGGAAAGACTTATTAAATTTAAGTTAATTTGTCAAGTTATCAAAAATGTAAATATAAATAGACAAGAATTAAGTAGTTTTTTCTTAAATTATTTAAAGTAAATGAATGAAAATTTATTTGTGTTACATTGTAATGTCAAAAATGGGATAGATTTGCCCCAGAGAATAGAAAGCTGTGTTTGCAATGTTTTATCATTAAAAAAAAATATTCATTGACACTGTTAGACAAATATATACTTAGCTATAAAAATTCAGTTCAAATTTATCATTTAGTAGTCACTTCTTTTCACCTGTAANTCAGAAAATATATTGGCACTCAAAATTAATGTCTAGATTCTAGATGCCAATTTTGACAAAAATATATATAAGATTATTTAGAAATTCAATTATTTAATGTGAATAACATTACAGATCTATATTATAAATCACTTAAAATTCAGTTGATAGTATTGATTTTTCACTGAAAATAATCTTATATTATATCCCTTAGCTTTTTAATGCTTTTTGAATTGGAGATTAGCCCTTGCAAATGCCTGTGCAGACTGGGTGTTTTTGGTTATTTTTAAAAAAATCATAAAAAAAGAACTAACAATATGCCATATTTTGGGATTGTCACTTTGTACTTTTGTTGATATTAAGTAATCAATAGAATAATCATTAACAAGAAAAAAATGTTTTAAAAATTATAATAAAATGGCTTTTTTTATATATTTGAAAAATTTTTGATAGGTATCAATTATACAAGCTAAGATAAAATAAAAAGCTTCAGCATTTTATTTGGTACTTATTTTGGTATTTCAATCTTTGACTCAGGATTATCATTTATAAAAGCTATAGTTTTATCAATCAATAACTTTCTTACGACAGCCATTTTACAGTAAAAAGTAATTTATTCATCTGACGGAAATTCAAAAAAAAAATTTTATTAGACGTTAAATGTGATTTTATGTTAAACTTAAAGTATAAATTTTTTGAATTTTTAATGAGTTTTTTAATTTGTATGTTCATTGAAACAAATATTTTCCTAACTACCAAAGAATTTAATATGTTATTGTAATTATTGAATTATGTGATTATCTATTACAAAAAAGGAATGAGTAGATTAATTGAAAGAATTGGTGTTCATGAATAATAATTACATTGATATTTTATATGTACATGTAATTTGTATTTTGCAATAACAGAAAAATCTTATAATACAAAATTTTATAAATGATGCAAATGAGTGAATGTGATATGAAATTAAAAATGAATTATTAGTTTTTCATTGAAATACATTTTTATAATTTTAATTATTGTTATTGTTTCATGCAGGTGACTTGTTGTCATTATTAAAATGGAAAACTCATCCAGATAAGATACAAGATACATTAAATAAAGTTATGAAACTAAATGGAGAAGAAATTGTTAAAGTAAATATTTTGATAATTTGTTTTATTTTGAATAATTTTAATAAATGAACATCACAACAGTGTAGATTACTTTTTACATAATGATGATGAACTAACTATTTATAAGGATACAATTTTAANAGACAACGAATACCAAAACGAACATTAGTTTTGATTTATCGAGTAGTATTTTTCAGAAATTTTAACAAAATAATTATAAATTTTATATAAATTCGTGTTGCTAAGATTATTTAAACTTAGTTTGAAATCGAGTGGCGAATTAGAATTACATATTTGAGATATTTTATGATAGTTACGCAGTCTAGAAAGTTCTTGACAATTATGAATTAGATGAAATAATGAAAATTCTTCAGAATTACATAAAGGGCAATAGGATCTTGTTAAGTCAATATAAATATTATTAATAAAAAGAGAATATTTATTTAGACGGAGTTGAATTATTAATCGTTTAACATTTAGACTTACTGGCTGTGACATATAAGATTGTAAGGGCGGAATTNAAATTTTATATAAATTCATTTTGCTAAGATTATTTAAACTTAGTTTGAAATTGGGTGGTGAATTAGAATTACATGTTTGAGATATTTTATAATAGTTACACAGTCTAGAAAGTTCTTGACAATTATGAATCAGATGAAATAATGAAAATTCTTCAGAATTACATAAAGAGCAATAGGATCTTGTTAAGTCAATATAAATATTATTAATAAAAAGAGAATATTTATTTAGATGGAGTTGAATTATTAATTGCTTAACATTTAGACTTACTGGTTGTGATATATAAGATTGTAAGGGCGGAAATTGCAATAAATCGATGTACCATGGATGATAACTACTTTGATATAATGAATTTTGATCTTTGTTTATTACCTGCGAAATTACAGAGTCTATTAGAAGTGAATAGCTGAATTTCCAATCATTAATATTATCTTTTAAATAGTAACTCCAATACACCAAAAGTATTAGAATTTGATTTAGCTTGTATTGCCATAATTGTTTAAATTCCGGTTTTTACTTTGATTAATATTTTGTTGATGTAGATATATTATTGTATTATCGTTTTTAAATTTATTTCTGTAATAAAATTTTATTATGCGTTTCAATACAAAAGGGAAGAACCAAGTTTGATTTACTTTGTGCCTCAGTAATAGTTCTTTCTAGTTGGAATAATTTGCGTAAATAATAGATGTGAAGATATTCCAATTTATATATATAGTCTAAACTCCATATTGGACTTGCATAATATATTATAGGAACGATTGTTGAGTTAAATAATTTAATGTGAATTTTCAAATTGGTAGTTTTCAACTTAGAACATACAAATAGTAGATTATCTATGGCTTGCTTTGCTTTGATTTTTATTTTGTTAAAATGTGCTTTAAAGGATAAGTTTCAATCAAACCTGACTCCCAAATAGTCTATTTAATTTACAGTTTGCAAAAGAGTATTTTCATGATATAATTTAGTGTTATTTTCAGATATTTTACAAGTATTGCGGAATATGATAACTTTCGTTTTGGTCAGATTTATTGCTAAATATAGTGATTCAAGAAATTTATTGAGTTGATTAATTTTCCTTTGTAGTGAAATTTTTGTTGGGGCCAGAAGCACAAGATCATCAGCAAAAAGAATATAGTGAAGGACTCTATTTCCTATAATAATTCCATTAGTTGATTCGGTAAAGAGATGATCAATACCTATAAGGTAAAAATTGAATAAATATGGAGAAAAGGGATCACCTTGAAGAATTCCACGGGATAAAAATAAAGTTTGAGAGAGATTATTGCCTTGTTTTATCTTGATGTTATAGTTTGAGTATAGTTTTGAGATTGCTGAAGTAAATTGGGTACTTGCACCGCAAGATTTAAGATTGTGAACCAACAGAGGAACGTATATTAATCAAAAGCTTTTTGGATATCAATGAAGGAAGCATATATTTTCCTGTGTTTTCTTAAAAGATATAGTTGAATTATCATTAATAAAGTGAAGATTGCAAATTCGGTTCCTTTATTTACAGTGAATGCATATTGGAATTCGGCTTCCATTCCCATAATTTTAGTCCATAGCTTAAATTTGTTTGCAAGAAGTGAAGTAAAACATTTTCTTATAACTGATAGCAATGCTATTGGTCTATAGTTGCTAGGAGAGGAAAGATTGCCTTTTTTATGGATCATCATAAGAATGGCTGAGTTCCAGGATTCAGGGAAGAATTCAGATTTGTACATACTGTTAAATAAATTTAATATTTTTAATCTAGAATTGTTTGATAATATTTTTAAGAAATCGGTAGGAATATTGTCATTTACTGGAGTTATTTTACTTTTTGATTTTTTAATGCATCATCCAATTCAGTAATAGTAAAGTCAGAATCTAGAGTATCATTATAAACTTCTATACTTGTATTTAACGGTACTTCTGTATGGATTTGTAGAAATCTATTATAAAACTGCTTTCAGGTATTAAAATCTATTGTAATAGAATTTTCATTTAAATTTGATTTAGGCCGAAATCTTCGTATTGTATTCCAGAACACTTTACCATTATTGTTATTTTTAATTAAGTTTTGTTCAATTTTGCGAAGATAATTTGACTTTTTAGTTTTAAGGAGATTATTATAGGTTCGTTTAGCTTTTTTATAACTGTTAAAGTTAAGTACAGTTGAATTTTGTTTGAATTTTTTTAATTCTGCTTGTTTTGTCATTCTCATTCCATAACAGTCAGAGTCAAACCATCCTTATTTAGCTTTACTTTGAATATTTCTTTTATTTTTATTTATATATATGTAGTCATTTAGTATGGTTGTTATTAGATTGTACACTTTTTCATTATTAGTACTTGTTATTACTGGAATGGCAATAAAACGATTATCAATCTCCCTCCGATATTTTAAAATTTTATATTTTATTTTTGGTCTATTGTTGCATTGGTTGTTGGTTCCCTTTGCTGATGATAGTTGAAATTTGGTTATTGTGGGAAATTGATCTGATGCATCCATTAATGTTGTCATAAAATTTGTGCAACAGTCCTGAAGTAGTTAGGAACATATTGTGAAGGTCTGAAACCCTTTTATCTGTTTTAAAACAGTATAAACCTCGGGTTTTCTCTGAAAAGGGAAAAAGGAGAACCTCTGCAGTCAATGACTGAGATGCTCTCCTCGAATAAGAAAAAAAAGGGGAATGTTAAAATATCAATAAACAAAATCTTCTCCATTTATTTAAAGGTAATTCTATAGATGTTAATATCAACAAGATGGGAATAAGAGATGTTTCTTATCACCTCTTCGGTTGCATGTAACACGTGGTTACGGCAATAAATCGCCTCGTTCATAGTTAAATGCGACATTTGATATAAACAATATTTAGATAGTTGACCAGATTAAAGAAATTATTGTCAGTTGAATGTTAATTTATGGATGAGAGCCATCAAAACTATAAAAATTTATATTATAAAATCATATCTTCTAGACACCAATAGCAATAAATTAAACAAACTTCTCTGTGTCAGTTGTCCGTACTAGCTAGATCTAAACATCAACACACTAACAGATGTACATATAAATCATCAATAATATCATAGTTCTCACCCCCTCAAATTTGGTATAAAGAGGGCTCCCAGCCAGTTATCTGGGTGGCCTCCAAGATAGCAAGAAACAACTGAGCAACTGTCTTTAACGCTGACCACCGGCAATGGACGTATAAGCAAAGGCTCGACTATCTACAACTTAGTAAGTAGAACTCTCTCCCTTCTCTCAGGTGGACTAGGGCTAATTAATAAATAAATAGTAATAAGGATCAGAGAATATCCTCTGTCGGAAATACGCGAGATGTAAGCCAGCTAACTGCTTATTGTAACTTTGGTTAGAAATTAGTAGTATTATTAATTATTTGTAACCTTTTTATATAGGACTAATTAATAAAATAAATAGTAATAAGGATCAGAGAATATCCTCTGTCGGAAATATGCGAGTTGTAAGCCAGCTAACTGCCTATTATAACTTNTTATTATTATCTTAAACATGTGTGTTTACTCGTACTCAGTCAACACCTTATCGACTTATCCGTGACCTCCCGCTCGATTTTTGCCCTCTTAAATTGCCATCCACTGACCCTGGGAGCGGGACTCACCTTCCCATTGTTGGAAAACGGTTTAAGCTTAGATGCTTAAACCCCGATTCTCACAATATTGTAAGATCAATTGTTGATTTCCCAGAGTGGGTTAAGCATGTATATTCTGCAGGAAAGTCAGGTTTAATATGACCATTCAGTATAAAAAGTTTGTTTTCAGTTATCAGGTCTAATAATTTTTTTCCCAAATTATTAACCTGTTTATCCTTAATTTCCAACTATTATAAATTAGATGATTAGGTCTCTTATATTTAGAGTCCATTACCTCACCAATTCTGGAATTGAGATTGCCCAATATTATAATGTACGGAGTTATATATTGCCATATATCAATAACTCTGAAGATTTCATTAAGAGTATTTAGATCACCAGGTGGTACATAAGTTAACATTATCATCAGTGTTTTATTATTATTATTTAATAATTTATTACTAGTTATTGCGATGAGAAGTAGTATATAATTCCTAGATTTTTTAACTTGGATTATTTTACAACACTTCCTTTCAATCAATAAACATAGACCACCACTCGGTCGTCCGGGACCTTCTGATTTACTTGCCATTGCGGATTCTATTATAAATTTATTCGAGAAATTTCTAGTATAAAACTTATCTGATGTTATCCAAGTTTCCATCATGGCAATAATAACCGGATTATATTTATTATGCAGAGAATTAACAAATGTAGTTTTGTATTTAAGTCCTTGGCAGTTCCAATTTACTATAGCAAAGGAGTGGTTACTCTCGAAATTAAGTGATTTTTGTGTGTGCCTTTGATTTGTATTATATCAGCTTCACAAGTTTATCAAGTTGGAATAAGGTAAAAAGGTATCTACATATACCAGACTTTTCATATTAATATTATAAGTAATTTTGTCAGTTCCTGTTAGTAAGATGTCATTATGTAATTTGGCTCGTGAATTTTGTTTTCGTATATCATGTAACACTGAAAGTAAATTTTTGCGTCTTATTCTTGAGTTTTTAGTGAGATCTGGAGATATTTGAATATCTCTCCAATCTTCAAGCTGATTTTGCATTTTCTTCTGAATAAAAGCAGAAAAGATCTGATTTTGAAGTTGGTTATTGTTAAAGGTTATTCTTATGGTTATTTTCGGTGGTTTCGTTAGTTGAACCACATCTAAAATATCATCTTGAACTATATTACAAATATTCAGTAAAGAAATAATAAAGTTATGAATTTCTTCTTTAGAAACAGTCTTCGAATTAGGATAGTTATATATTATGATGTTATTACGATTGTAATAATTAACTAGAGAATCCACTCTAAATTATGTAAGGTCCTTCTCAATCTGCATAGTATCAATTTGTTGTCATAAATTCGTAATCTGTTCTCCATTTTTGTTTGTTTTTCCTTAGTTTTATGTAAATTTTCATGAATTAAATTCAGTTCTTTCTTAATATCAGCAATTTGATTAAATAGTTTGTCATTAGATGTTTTTATAAGATTGGATATCCTATTCCATAAAACAGTAGATGAAGTATCTAATAAATCATCCGGGTTATGTAGTAAGGTATCAAATACAATTGGCTCACCTGAGAAATCTTGAATATTATGTTGATTTGACTTCTCATTAATGTTCCCGTGTCAGTGTAGGTGTCTTGAAGATTTTTATCTGATTGTAAATTAAAGTCTAATTAATCGGGAACTTGTAGCAGAGTTATCATTGCGTTTACTCACTGATTTGGTTCGGTTAAGTGGCGGTCTTCCCCGCTTAATTGGAGAATGTTGCATTGCCAATAATATTAGACTTTCCTTATTATTATTTATGCTTTTATCTATTAATTTTTTTAACAATTCAAAAAGATGGTTAAATCAAATAGTTGGTTTTAAAGTTATTGTCACAAATGAAGTGCGTAGAAAAGTTCACCAGCAGCACCGAGAGTTGGGAACGCCCCCCCTCTTATTATCTTAATTATTGAGAAGGTATTTGTATCAGAGGTAATGGATTAAATAATTAAATTATGTTTGAAGTTAAATTTGAAATCAGAAAATATATTGGCACTCAAAATTAATGTCTAGATTCTAGATGCCAATTTTGACAAAAATATATATAAGATTATTTAGAAATTCAATTATTTAATGTGAATAACATTACAGATCTATATTATAAATCACTTAAAATTCAGTTGATAGTATTGATTTTTCACTGAAAATAATCTTATATTATATCCCTTAGCTTTTTAATGCTTTTTGAATTGGAGATTAGCCCTTGCAAATGCCTGTGCAGACTGGGTGTTTTTGGTTATTTTTAAAAAAATCATAAAAAAAGAACTAACAATATGCCATATTTTGGGATTGTCACTTTGTACTTTTGTTGATATTAAGTAATCAATAGAATAATCATTAACAAGAAAAAAATGTTTTAAAAATTATAATAAAATGGCTTTTTTTATATATTTGAAAAATTTTTGATAGGTATCAATTATACAAGCTAAGATAAAATAAAAAGCTTCAGCATTTTATTTGGTACTTATTTTGGTATTTCAATCTTTGACTCAGGATTATCATTTATAAAAGCTATAGTTTTATCAATCAATAACTTTCTTACGACAGCCATTTTACAAAATATTGAAATTTTATTCAATATTTGCCACTTAGTGGTGGAAATGATAGATTTTTCATTGAGTATATTTCCTATGTCAACTACAGACATGTCTGTCATCCAGCTCCATAGAATAACAGTTAAAAGTGTGAATGAGTAAAATGTTACCTTCATCTTTTATAGAAAAAAAACTTTGTGAACAAGACTTGTCTGTAGATCACAGAGTGTTAAATAATATAATTATATTGCTATTGGAATATTTCTTTAGAAGTCTGGAAAGATAATAGAGAATGATAGATATTTACAATAGTAAAATGAGTTGAAGTATATTAAAAAAAAAAAAAAAAACTGAAGGAAATTCTCTGCAATATCTCGGGTTTAAATAAAAATGTTATCACAAATAAATAAATTTTAAAAAAGTGATAGAAAAGGAAATGCATATAATTGGTTGTACAATTTGAAACTTTTTTTTTAATTAAAAACACACAAATTACAAAAAAAATTACAACATAAATTTCAGTTCTGTTAAAATTTATGTTGTAATTTTTTAAGGTCCATAAGCATTAGTTGAATTTTTGTTTTTGAACTTAGTTTGAATTAAAAAATTAAGAAATTATAAAGATATTTTAATGTAGACATATCAGATACATATATGCAAAAATTTTTTAAAGTTTTTTATGTTAATGAAATAAAAGAATTTAAGGAAATAAGAAAATCAAAGATTTATACAATAAAATTAAAAGTATAAAAGAAACATGTAAAAAGGAATATTCTAAGATTGTTAGAAAAGAGAATACAAGAATAAGTGGAAGAGAGAGAGATTAGAAACAATGGTATTATGGGTATGCTTATAATAAGAATGTCAGTTGGAATGATGTTAAAGTAATTGTTAAAGAATGCAAAGGAGTATCAATAATGATTATGGACTAATTTAAAGAATGACCATTTAATTAACACAAAAATAGAAAAATGATATCTTAAATTATGATTATGAATACTAAAATATTACAACATGAACACTTGAAATTTTAACTTGGTTTTTAACTGTTTATATTGTAATTTTTAAGATTTATGAAAACAGTAAAGTATTGAATTTTTATTTTAAAATATTTCAAATAATATGCTATTTTTAGTTATCACATGAGGTATGCAAAAAGTAATTTTAATAATGAGTTGTTGAGCCTTGAAAATGTTCAACCAAAAAATGAATTTTTTTTTTCTTTCATCTTTTGTTTATAAGTTTTTCTAAATTCATATGAGTAGATGATTTTTTAATTATATTCTATTAAATATTGTTTATTTGAAATATAATGTTCATTAAAATTTTATAATCATTTAATTTAGTTTCTGCAAGATATATTGGATGCCCTTTTTTCTATGTTTTCAACTGGAGATGGAAATTCAACTACTCACTCTGGTCTTGTATTTAAAGTTTTGGTATGTTAAATTTATATAATGTTACCTTAATCTAGTCATAAAATGTTTATAATTAAACATAATCATTTAAATGTATAAAATGTATAAGGACCTTGAATAAGTTCTCGCTGTTTTTTTGTGAAAATTAACACTTTATTTAAAAAAAGTCATAATAAACACGTCACTGAAAGTATTGTCCGTCGCTAGCCACTACTTTCTCCTATCATTCTAGTAGCATTTGAATTCCATGTCGGAAAAATGACACGTTTTTTGAGGCTATCCAAGAATCAACCCATTTTTTGGCATCTTCATAAGAACGAAAGTGCTGCTCAGCCAGGCCACGTGACATCGATCGGAACAAGTGATAATAAGAAGGGGCGATGTCTGGTGAATATGGCGGGTGGGGTAGGACTTCCCATTTAAGCGTTTCCAAGTACATTTTCACCGGTTGTGCAACATGTGGCCAAGCATTGTCATGTAGCAAAATCACTTTGTCGTGTCTCTGCTCATATAGCGGCCGTTTTTCCTTCAATGCTTGGCTCAAACGCATCAATTGTAGTCGATAGCGATCTCCCGTGATAGTTTCGTTTGGTTTGAGCAGCTCGTAATAAACTACACCTAGCTGATCCCACCAAATGCAGAGCAGAAGCTTCGAACCATGGATATTCGGCCTTGCTGACG